GGGGGGGGGGGGGGGGAACTGTTCAACACAATGTCCCAAATCAGTTCGATGGTGTGTATGGGCAGATAGAGCTTTAGGAATTCGGACATTGAAATGAAAGCAAAATCCAAACAAGACAACATTACGAGGAGAAATGTCCAAGGCCGATTCGGCGTCCACAGCTTGTAAATTTCAGGCATGTGGAGGCCGCCTGCTCATAAGATTTACTTTTAAATGAAACTCACTGGATCATAACAACATCCAGCAGAACATTCGTCTCCTGTGAGGGTTTCCCGCCTGGGTGGCAGCCGCCTGTTTTAGTTCTCCCGGAGATCAGATCTACAAGAATGACACTCACTCGGCTTCTCTTTCCTCTTACAATCACACCAAAGGGATTTTTATTTGCGTATGTGAAAATGATCATAAATCACAGGACGGATCAATAGGCCGGGGCTGGGCTGCGGAGGCCTGATAAGACAATCAATACGGCCTATTTGGATTTTAATTAATACATGACAGCCGCTCTGCCCCCGAAACAACAAAATAAGACCATGAGACCTCTTGAATTACCGAGCGTCGCACGCAGGTCTGGAAGCGTCTTTAACCCCGATAACATGATAAGCTGTCCACTAGAGTAAACGCTGTCCCCGAAAAGGGTTAAAGACGACGTCAGAAAGGTTTTACGTCAACGAGACATGGCAGATCCTTGTGAAATGTGAGAAAATCCCCCGCCAAAAAAAGAGAACAAATACAAAGCGCCCTTTGTAAACAAAAAAAAAAGGACGGAGTCTTTTTGTGTAAACGTGGACCACTGACGATCTTCATCTGCGTCTGGAACAGTCACTTCCTGTGAGTCACAGCAAATCATTGCGACTTATCACGCCGCATATCAAGATTTTTTTTTTTCCCCCACGGTTAGGGGTTAAGTGTTCGAATTAGTGTTCACCAGCGCTTTGAACCACTGGCGAGGCTATTTTAAGCCTTTCATGCACACGTTAACCTGTTAAGCTGATAACATGATAAGATGTCCACCTTAGTGACCGTTGTCCCCGAAAGGGTTAAGGATCTCGTTCTCAGCCAATGATTGGGCTTCGGTTTCAACTACATGATTATTTGGGGGTGAAAATATGATTCTGTGTTAGTCACTTTTCATCCCTTCAGTTGAAAAACTGACTCGGGCCAAAATGTCAAAGACAGGAGGCGCAGGATCAGGGATAACCGCGCGGTCATTCTCCTCACTGTTTATTTGACGGCACTAAAAGGTGATGGGAAAATGTTTCTGAGTCAGATCGTGATCATTGCCTCCACTTACAGACAGACAAATTACACGAGGGAGGCCGGTGACAAAACGTGCGGTCACGCTTTTGTGTTTGTGTTATGTCTGAGCGGGATGACACGGATCATGACTCAGCAGAAATAGGTTTGAATCCGAGCATCTTCATAAACAGCCCGGTTAAAATCTTCACTCGTTCCCAAAACAATGTCAAACAATATCACTTTATTATATATTTTTTTAAACACGAGTTTGGCCGACTCACATTTTTATCTCCATTGCTGTGTGTGTGGGTTTTTTTTTTTTGGGGGGGGGGGTTCTGCTTCTTTTGAATATGCACAATCAGCTGTTCGGAACTAAAAAAAGGTATCACCCTCCCCTTTGATTTCAACACTGAAAAGCCTCTCAGGATGTTTTACAAAACAACAATGAAGGAAAATTAAACATTAAAAAAAACAAAAAAAAAACATAGCTTTCCATATGGGGAAAACTTTGGCTCACTAGCATTGCCCACGCACCCTTAAAAGTATTCCCCAACAGTTGTGGAGCAACAACCGAGGAGCTGACATCTGTGATTTTTCTTTTTTTTTTTTTTTTTTTTTTTTTAAACAAAGCTTTGTTTGTCAGCCTCCGTCAAAAGCACACACTCGAACTTGAAAAACGTTGTCTTTTTGTCACGGCCACGAAAGCTACATTAGGATATAAATTTGCAATACAGGCCCGATTGTGTGCGCTAGCCACGCAGGACGCATACAAATAGAATTCCCCTCTTCCCAGTGCGCGGCTGGCTGACTTCACGTACGATAAATCAACAAAAGGCGCTTTAGTCGAGGATCCGCTGCCATTTTATCTTTTTTTTTAACTGTATTTAATTTAAACTTTTTTCCCTGGTAACGTAATACCGGCTCGTTTGGAATCTAAAGAGGAGATGGATAAGAATATCTCCTGCTTCCTGCTTTAAAAAAAAAAAAAAAAAAAGTTCCTCCCAGCAGCTTTTTGGCCGCGGGGAGACTTAAGTTACAAGTGTGTGGCATTTAGCGGGGAGCAGGAACGTAATTGGAGGCTGCGGGGTGGACGGATAAGGACAGGCTGGGAAAGCGGGAAGTTGGCAAGCGGCTGCGGGTCAGTGGCGCGCCTCCGCGGCCCGAACCCGCTGCACCAGGTGTCCACTTAATTCAAATGATACTATTATTCATAGACAGAGGAAGAGCATTGAAGCCCCCCCCTCACTCCCCCCCCCCACTCCGCAGACCCGCCTTCCAACTCCCACTGCTCCCACCAATGATTTGCAAGTGAATGCAGATATAATCCTTCAAATAAAGAGCAACATTGAAGGGGCCGTGAGAGATTTGTGCCACATGACAGTCAAGAGCGTGTTTAACTTTTCGCCACGACAGTGACACTCATTTATGTCCATTCAGCAAAAAAAAAAGAGATGACATGCACGTAAAGTGCCAAAACAGGTGAAGCAAAGTTTAACAAATTATATATTTTTTTACCCCCCACCTTCCGGAGGCCCGAGTTTCCCATGAGCCATTACAATACAGTGATGATGCATTCAAGCGCTGACGTATAAAACACAAGCTTTGTCCTGCCACACTGGCTAATTATTTGACAGATTGGAGTCCCGTTGTGTGTGGATACTAAGGGAGTCGGGGGGTGGG